CAGAAGCAACCTTACCGATTTTCCTTACGTCTCTTATGAGTGTCCACAACTGAATTGGAGGTGGACATTTCTTCATTGGTGGATGAAGCCGATCGACCACAGTCCTCCCACTAATTGGATAGATCTTTTTCGTTGGTTTTGCAATGTTTGTCTTGATTATTGAAAAGTGTTATCAATAAATTTTCCGTTTATAAAAAATGTGATTGTTGAGCAATAAAATAAATAATACTTTTTTGTTTTAATTATTTTTATACCTCACTTTATTTTGTTATTACTTGTAACAAAATTATTATATGGCCCGCGACATCAAAGGTTTCAGTTTTGGCCATTGAGGCATTGCAAGTTGGACACCCCTGTTTTATAGGCTTGAATGTCATACATTTGAAATAAATAAAAAAGTAATTTTGCAATAAATATTACGTTTTTTAATTTTGACCTTCATTCTTTTGCTACAACAAATAAATTAAATTGAACGTATACCAGCTCAAATTGAAGGTCTTGTAGAGTACTTTCATAATCTATACAGAAATTACCCATTACAATACTTACTTTAGTCAAAAAATACGTATTTTGCACCTATAAACGCTCATAAATAAACAATAACTAAACATTTTTGTTGAATGAACTGGAGGATTGCCCTGAGGTCCTTTATAACCTAGGCCACATTACATAAATTCCTGGATTAGAGAGTACTTTTTCCTCCAAAGCTTGGGCTAAGTGGCTTTGTGATCTTTAATGGTAATTTTAACTGATAACTTATAACTAGAGGGTGGACGGCTTTGCTGCCCAGGAATCAAAACTACTGTAGGCTTTTACTGACGTGGACACAATCCACCAGAGCTACAAAGGAACTCTTTATTCTATTGGAAAATGGGGCCAAGAAAATTGGTTTTAAGATGAAGGTGCATCCTGTAATAGCTTTAGGCTACATTAATCCTGCTTAGTGAATTGACTTGTCGAAATCGTAAATTACAGTTTTTGACAGGAATAGAAAGTCTCCCATTTCGCATTTATTTCAGGGAAATAAGCAAAAACAGTACCCTTTTTGTGACACTGACCCCGCTAGGCAAACGACAGTTGTTTTGAGTAGTATGGACCTCCATAGCAAGAATATATGTTTATCAATTTATGTTTATTGCAGTCGATTTTTTGGATTTAATTAGTTAACAAGTTGAGGTTAAAAACGGTAAATTTTCGCTTTTTTCGTCTACCAGCAAAAAGTAAAGCATTCAAAACAAATTTGGGAGTAAGAAACTTCAAAAGGCGTTTTTTCTTAAATGTTAATCTTAGATCATAAAAACTGATAAAACACGTCTAGTGAACTTCTCGTTTGGAAGAGTGAAGCCAACATAAAACGATTCACACAGCTGTGGGTGACGTCAGTTTATGGCAGAAACGATAGAGATAGAGATTAGAAGTGTTTATAGGCGTTGTAAACTTTTTAAAGTTTCCAATTTAAAAATTTTCTAATACATTAATATTTTAATTATGGTGCTATCTTGAAGTGCATTTAATTGTACGCAGCGACGAAAAAAAGGGAGAGATATATCATTTCATGGGTAAATTCACAAATTAAACTTGAAAAACATACCAGAAATTTAGCACCTATTATTTTACTTTTCCTCCCAAAGTGTTTAAAATAGATACATATGAGAGAGAGGAGTCTTATATATAATTTTCATTTTATAATTAGATTGAAAACTGAAGGATTAAGTAAATAAATTGTTTTAGATTTCCTAAAGATTCATCATTGCAAAAAAATGGATTATAGCGATGCACCGTGAAAATTTTAAACCAACAAAGAGTTCTAAAATTTGCTCCAAATATTTCACAGCGAATTCGTATATTACTATATAGTTGGAGTTCAAAAAACCAACTAAAAAAGATGCTGTACCCAGTATTTTCGATTTTCCAAACCATTTAATTAAGCAAGTTACAACTAGAAAATTTCCAGTAAAAAGAGAAACTGTCTCAGTCAAACCAATAGGAAAGGGAAAATATAAATATAACAACAAGTGAATCTAGCACCACAAAGACTCCAGTAGAAATTTCAGACGAAACTACCTTAGAACCTCCCTTGAAAAAGCGAAGACATTTATCTTGGCGACTTTGAACAAGGATCATCTAACAGAGACCAGAGATATAAAGTAGTAGTAAACAAAATAATTCAAAAGAAAGACAAACAAAACAAAATGTTGCAACAACGAAATAGAAGGTTTATTAAAAAAGTAAATACCTTAAAATCGTTATTAGAATATCTTAAAGAGAATCAGATGATCGATGAAGATTCTCTGAAATTTTAGGTAAGGAAAATTATTAATACTTCTTATTAGTGATCTATTTAGCTTTGGCATGTATAACAGTTTATTATTTTATATTGTTTGTAATTAGTCGATCAAGTTTTGATTATTGCTTTTATTTTATTAGGATACAATGCATGCGTCTGCAAAAACTATCTTTAAGCAGCTACTTAAATCTAAGAGTACTAAAACATATCCACCGAAGTTAAAAAGCTTTGCTCTCACTCTTAATTTCTATTCACCAAAAGCTTACTTGTATGTTAGAAAAACTTTTCCTAACATGTTGCCTCATCCACGAACTCTTCAAAGGTGGTATCAAGTAGTAGCTTGTGAGCCTGGGTTTCAAAAAGAAGCAGTGAATGTATTAAAACAAATAGTAGTTGAACTTACAAATAAAGGAAAATCATGTGTCTGTGCTTTGATTGTCGATGAAATGTCTATAGACCAGAAAATAGAATGGGATGGTGAAAAGTTTTTAGGGTAGGTGTAGCTTAATATTTATTAGCAATTATAAAAAGTATCATAGCATTATATTTTTCTATTTAAATAATTGAAAACATTAATTTTATGTATGTTGACATAGGAAGTAAACCTCAAAGCGATTCTTCGGAAATTAAAGCAAAAGAAGCAATTGTATTCTTAATTAATAGTTTAATGATTCATGGAAGCTGCCGATAGGCTACTTTTTAATCCTGGATTATCAGGTGTTCAAAAAAGTAATCTAATAAGAATGTGCTTAAAAATAATGCACGAAACTGATGTCACAATTACCAGTTTAACGTTTGATGGTGCAGCATCACATATAAGCATGGTTAAACAACTTGTTGATTTATCGATTAATTCTAATAAAGTATATTTTCTACATCCAGCAACAAATCAACCAATATATGTAATATTTGACCCTCTACATATGTTAAAAAACGAATTCTCAATACTTTAGTTTATTACAATTTTTTTTTGACGGGAATAATAAAGCGATTAACTGGGAATATTTGCAAAAATTAGTATTCATAGCATTCATCTTGCAACTAGGATAACGCGAAGGCATTTAAATTGGTATACGGAAAAAATGAAAGTAAAATTAGCTGCCCAAACGTTCAGCCAAAAAGTTGCTGAGGCAATACATTATTTGAGAAATAAAAGCTCAAAAGAATTTGTACATAGCGAAGCTACTCAAAATTTCATTGAACATATCAATGATATTTTGATATTTTTATTAGATTCCGAAATTTATTGACAAAACACCTAAAATCTAGTTTACAGCAACATAATAAACAAGCGATTTTTCAAAATCTTGAAGAATCTATAAAATATCTTAGTTCACTTAAGTGTTCCAAAAATGGTGAACCTCTATATCTAAGCCAAAGAACGATGATTTTTATTGTATGATCATTAGTTTAAAGTCACTAATGGGAATTTGGAAAAATTACGTGGAGGATATGGATGGAGGTTTGAAGTATCTTTCGGCCTATAAACTTTCTCAAGATCACTTAGAATTTTCTTTAGTTCTATTAGGAGTCATGGAGGTTACAACAACAACCCAACGGCAAAACAATTTAAAACTGCATATAAAAGACTCTTAATGCACACAAATGTTACAGGATCTACCCAGACTAGTATTGATCAAATCCACAATTGGTACCACGTTTTACTATACCGCCGTGTGGTGATTTGAAATTGTCGTTTTTAATTTTTGTATTCTTTTGCATTCTATGGTTTATAGATTACCAGAAAGCGTTGGATTGTGTTATTCATTCAGAATTAGTAAGATTGCTCCAGGAACGTTCGATAGATGAGAATGACCTTAAAAATATTAAAGAACCTTTACATGAATCAAGTGGCATTTGTGAGAGTAGGACTGGAATCTACACCATATTTCTCAATCGAAAAAGGTGTACGACAGGGTTGTGTTCTGTCACCCCTCCTTTTAAATTTTTACTCTGAAACGATTTTCGATAGAGCCTTAAGTGACACTGAAGATGGAATCAAAATCAACGGACAGACTATTAGTAATCTTCGCTATGCTGATGATAGTCATAATAGCTGATAGCTAAGAAGCGCTACAACGACTAATAGATAGTATAAACACTGAAGGAGACGACTGGACTTGAAGATTAATATAGAGAAGACGAAGGTAATGGTGGTTAGTAGAACACGAAATATGCAATTAAATGTAAGAGTAGACAATAAGAACATCCAAAAGGTCCCCAAGTTCAGATATCTCGGTAGTTGGATAACTGAAAATCTAGATCCAGACATAGAGATCCGTAGCAGGATTGCCAAACCAGAACAGCATTTACTAATATGAGAACCTTGCCAAGCAACAGCAGCCTCAACTTAATGCTTCGATATCGCTTTGGAAAATGTTACATTTACTCCATACTGCTATATGGTGTCGAAACCTGGACCATAAAGGTCAATGTGATGAACCGATTGGAGACCTTTGGAATGTGGGTATTTAGAAGACTACTTAAAATTCCCTGGACAGATTACACAACAAATGTCGTATTTAATCGAATGGGCAGAGAACCAGAATTGCTGCCAATAATAAAAAGAAGAAAAACTGCTTATTTGGGTCATATATTTCGAAATTCCAAGTACCAGTCCTTAAAGTTTATTATGGAAGGCAAGATAGAAGGAAAATCGGAAGAAAGAAATACTCATGGCTTAAAAAAATAAGTAAAATAGGTAAAAACTCACGTTCTTTTTTTTCTTCTTCTTGACTCCAACGATTCGGTATCTCTGAAGGGTCCCCTTCACTTGGGATCTTCACATTTTCCAATAAACAATATGGTACCATTGGGACCATCAATAAAGAACATGAACGGGTGTGATACATTGAATTTTATCGTATTTTCGGCGAATTTATTACCTACAGTGACCCCTGAAAAAAATATATAAAATATAAGGACATATTCATTTGCGTATTACAAATTTAAGGACAATTTTCAAATTTTAGCTAAAATTTTAATCATATATTATTTTTCGGTCTACTAGGTCTCCTAGTTAAATTGTGATCACATGTAAAAGCAATCGGGCGTCCCCTGGAAACGAGTCTTCTTCTTAAAGTTCCGCTCCTATCGGAGATTGGAAATCATTCTGGCAATTATAATTTTGTTGGTTACGCGCCTGACTAGTTCAATTGAACTGCATCCAAACCATTCACGGAGATTGCGTAGCCACGAGATTTTCGAGTAGTTCGTATTATTCACCTCTCATGATGTGCCCAAGTACCCCTTCAATTTCCTGATTTTTATGGAATTTAAAACTTTGCATTGTTTTCCTAGTTGTTCGAGAACTTGTTCGTTTGTTTTGCGGTCCATGATATTTGAAAATACGCCGGTAACACCACATTTCGCATACTTCTAGATTTTTAATGTTGGATTTTTTGAGTGTCCAAGCTTCAACTCCATACAAAAGGGTAGAGAAAATATAACATCGAAGCATTCTTATTAGGAGCGATATATTGATATCGCGATTACAAAAAAGTTTTCTCATTCGATTAAAAGTTGACCGTGCAATTTCAATGCTGCATTTTATTTCTTTTGTCTGATCAATATCTTCTGTGATCCATGCTCCAAGGTATTTGTACGAATATATTTTTTCAATTTCTGTATTATCTAGTACTAGCCTACTTTGATGTTTTGTGCTTTTGCAAATATCATGAACTTGGTTTTCTTCAAATTGATTTTTAGTCCATAATCGTTGCAATATATATTTAGTTGTTCAGCAAGGTGTTGCAGTTCTTCTAGTGTTCCTGCCAGAAGGACGGTGTCGTCAGCATATCTTATGTTATTAAGTGGCTCACCGGTTATTATAAGGCCATCACTGACCTCGGCAAGCGATAATTCTGAGATGGCTTCATCACTGTATAAATTGAATAACAAAGGGTGATAAAATACACCCTTGGCGGACCCCACGGCGAATCTGGATATCCTCGGTCAGTTCATTTTCAACTTTCACTGTTGCTGTTTGGTTCCAATAGAGGCTAAATATGATTCTAATGTCTCTACTGTCTATTTTTTTATTTAATAAAATTTCTTTAAGCGCGTAAGAAATTTAAGTGCATCTATTATTATGACTTCAAAGAAATAAATATATTTTACAGTTTTATTTTGATTTAAATATTAAACTTATTTTAAATACTTAAAATAATAACAAAAAATTAAATATAACGTTAATATCTACGTCATTTTTGAAAACTGTAACCTTTGCGCAGTTGTCTTTCACTTTGCCTTTTTCAGTTGCCAGAAAGTAACAATTATAAATATTTGAAATCGATTTTCGTTTAACAAAATTTTAAATTACGGCAAAACTATCAGTCCTATAAAGACCAATATCCAGCTATTTAGATGTATGAGTAATTTTATTAGAATTGCTTAAATAAATTAATTTATTAAGAATTATTACTTAATTAAGAATGAGTCCTCGTTTAAAGTTTTACATTTTAAGAAAATTCAACATAACTCAGAACACTGTGTACATAGGTATAGGGAAGTCTTATGAAACTAAAACTTTATTTTTTGCAGACAATTAGAAAATTCAATAAAATACAGGGTGTTCCATAAGAAAAAAATATAACTTTTAAATGCCGCGCTTTATTGTGACACCCTGTATATTTCAGGAATAATTTTAAAATGAAGCCTTTATCAACCTACATACTATACATTTAAAACTTTTTCAAAATCGTTTACAGTTTCGCTGTAATCTTCCGTCTCGTTAGTGGTGATTCACCCTGTATAATATATATTATAATATATATAATATATATATATATATATATATATATATATATATATATAATATATATATATATATATAATATATATATATATGTATGTATATTAATGATAATAAATAATTACCTGTTGCTGTGAAGACTTCGCTTCCTGTTTCATCAACTTCTATTCCACTTTTCTGAACAATGTCAGTAACGTATAGAGTTCTTCTTAAGGTGCTGTTGGTTTGCACTATATCTGTGAAACTGGCTGTGTTTTGGAATGCTTCTTTTAGTCCAAACTAGACATCAATAAAAAGAATATGTACTTAAATAATCTATATACATTAGAGTATAGTAAATCTACAAAGTATGTATCTACAAACCAATTCTTTGTTTGGTTTTGAGAACCTTGTAATAAATATCTCTCTGTATAAAATCGCGTAGGGGTGCTTATGCTTAAGATCGGGAATAGTTTCATCCCTTGGATCTATTGCTTTTTCGATAGCTCGTGGACTGTATATTTATTTCTTCTATAAGGTTAGTTGAAGGTGACTGCAGGCTAAATCGTTTAATTGGCTTAGCTTCAAGGGTTGCTAAGCATTGTTTGTTTAATAAAACTCACATCACAAAGACAGAAGATAAGTACAAGAATGGTTGTGATAAGTTGTTGAATGTTGTCATAAGTTTTTTAAAATCAAATATATTGTCTTTGTGCAGTTCAGTTACCAAATACGGTTTTACCCTGTTGTTTTTGCACATCTTACTAAGCTTTTATATTGTTCGGGAATAAAAACTGTTTGGTTCTTTTTACCTCGCTCTATGAAGGCGTGCATGGAATCTCGCTCATTTTGGGAATGACCTACCATCGCAAATATTATTCTGTTTATATTTGTCCTCCGCAAATATTACTATAAAATATATAAAATTTTTATATCCTTTTAAAACAGTAGTTGCAATGAAATTATAAACACTGCTACTTATTTTGTTAGCTCCCTTCCTTCCTCTAGTTTCATCCCGCATGTAGCAAAATCCTTCATTGCGTCCTATGTCAAATTTTGTGAAAATATAAACGCATAATTTTCGTTTATAGTAAAACATTGACAGTTCAGACTGAGGTATGGTGAGAACTTTCTGCAAGTCGTGAAGAGCAACTTTACTATAGTTTCCATTAAATTTTTAGCGATCTCTTTATCCCTTTCCTTAAGTTGTCTTACAAGTCTTATTAGCAATATGGTTAGTGTACTTCAGATCCATCTCTGCTTTTTCGTCTTCGCGTGCATTTCGAAAGACACACTGGTTTTTTTTGGTTTAAAAACTCGATGTTAAATTCACTGTTGAATATCTCACGGTATTGTCTTATTGTTGCAGTAGACGAGATATGATGTTCTTACTGCATCCACTCCGTATACAAATCAAAAAGTTTAGAAATTTTAGTTTTTCTTCAAAATATAATTTGTGTTTTTTTTTTTCTAAGTTATGAGACTCTACTGCTGGAAAGACGATATGTGTTTTCGAACATCTCTTTTATTTTTTCTGCTACTCATTGTAGCCGAGTGGTGTGTTTTCGACGCATATCTTCAACAATTTATACCAACTTCACACTCTGACATCTTTTTAGACATCGGTTATATCAAACGTATCAAGAAACATTTTTTTACATACCACAATGTGACTATCATTTATGGGCAATTTATACTGAAATGTCCACTTCCTTCGAGATTCAATGTAGTATTTAAAATACGAGTTCTTGTGTGTCTAGTAACCAAACGACTAATATATTGGGTCTGAAGTGTGATCTCCCATTTTCCAAAACTCTTTAAAAAAGTTGTTGTCTTGTTGTAACATTCAGTTTTTCTTGTCACTTTTGGATACACTTGTCCATACAACCACTTTTAAGTTGGGACCGGGAAAACTAAACTAAACACCGAGACCTGGAAACAATCAAGATCTGTCTTGTCTATTTCCCCTACTATTTTCACAATAATGCCGCGAAATATTGACACACGACGTGTAGTATCTACCTGCATAATTATCGGAACTTAGCAGCCAATGCGGCGAATAAAATTGTAACAACATTACGGAGTAGTTTTGAAAAATAAGAATTATTTTAATACACTATGGTACGATACAGTATTTTCGACTAAAATTTGATTTGGTTCAACGTCGTATCTGTAGTTACTCTGTTATTCTACAAATAATTCAATTTTTTTTATATATGTACGGTATTATTCCATTCGGAATCTTTCTTATTAATGCAGTTACAGCCACACCGACCATGTTGGCAGATAGAGCGTAAAAAGTTATGCAAGAAGAACACTGTAACTCAAAATCGCCAAAAATGTTAGTTACAACGTTATTCTATGCAGGGGTCGAAATGATCTTAACAGTTTTACCTACCTGTGTCTCATCCAAACTAATTTTATTGTCACGAGATAGCTTACCCTGTTTTTTTAGGTTTTTCAGTATACAAGAAATGTTTTTTTATGAATTTCCACATACTTTCTAGAGATACTATATATAATAAAGCATTTAATTACCTTTTGAAGAATCTGTTTCAACTTGATGTTAAAATTGAACTTGAACTTTGGAAGAGTAACCTCAACATCTGTTTTCATTAAATTGAACTTTATATCTCCTATTTTTGCTAAGCTCACTTTTTTAATTAGACTATCTAATCCTCCCAAAGAGTTCGGGAGAACTATACACATGGAATAGGCATCTCCCTGTCAAATTAAATTAAATTAGTTAATTGTATGACACACATATCAATTTCACCACTCACTTGGTATTCCAATTTGACGATTTTCGCATCCAAAGTTGAATCCTCGTAGTAGAAAAATTGGTTAGTGGTAGTCATGTATTCAACTAATTTTGAGTTTTGACCGTCTCTTACATTTTCAGCAGATGTATAGAAGACTCCAAGGTGTGGTATGTTATTTTTAGGAAATTGATGAGTCCATGTCCCTTTGAAGTAAATGACATTGGTAATCAGCATTAGTGCCTGCGACAGATCATCTAGAAATAGAACAAAGTAAATTTAAAAGCATGATGTAGATAGAAAAAAATCAACAAAGACAGTGTATTGGATATTTTATTATTATTGTAGAAAACCAGTTTTAGCTGTGTAACATTTTTTTAATTAATATATTAAATTATTTTTAATTCCTTTTACCCATGTGGATGATACGCGGATGGTCGTGTTTACGATCAGAAATGTTTATTGTGAAACTACCGAAACATGACTGAAAATCTACCTACCTATTTATTTAAAGACGCCGGTTTGGCTAATTCTTAGTTAATCCTTTTCTGGGTTCTTTTACATAAATGCGGTAATTGTCGTCGAACGCCCGTTGTAATGTGTTTCGGGAAAAACCTAATCTTGAAGATCTATATTTTATCACGTCCAATTAGTATTACCGTAAATACCTCAAACTTTCCGATGTCGTTAGAATCTTGCCTTCTCAGAAATACATACAACTGACCTATGATTTTTAAGTGGGAGATATCCCTTCTTCTTTTTTTGGTGGTGAGTTTGTAAATTTTTGAAAAGAAAAACTTACTTCTCGGTGGGCCGTTGTAGAGTAAAGGCTGATTTCTCGTGAGACGCTTCACTCACATCGTATCTGTTATCTTACCGTCTGTGAATTGTTTTCTAAGTGTGTATACACTTTATATTCGAGTTTTTTTTATTAGATTATATATGGTTCTAAAGTACCTTTAATGTTAATTAAAGTCAGTGTTGGATACAAGTAAAGTATTAAGTACAGTATATAGCTTCAGTGAAGTACACAATGCCAATCCAGATACCTTTCTGCCATCAGTGTCAATCCCATACTTGCTTCTCTAGTGCCTGCACCCTTTCTAAAACCATATTGAGAACGACTCAGGTATTCTTCACACTTATTGTGTGAATTCGGTTATAAATTGTTTGCATAAAAATCTTAGCGGCATGACTCATTAATGATACAGTTCGATGGTCTTCACATTTCCTTGCTTTTTGTTTTTTAGGAAGAGCTATATAAAGTGGATGTTAGCCAGTCATACGGTATTATGACATGTTCATTATAATGTTGCAGAGGTACGTTAATTCCTGACAGCATTATCACTTAGGTGTTTAAAATATTCGGCTGTTATTGGGTATTCACCGGTGCCTTCTTGTTCTTTGCGTCTTTTATTATTGCCTGCAAAACTTCTTCGGTGAGAATGTTTAATTTTCCATCTCTATTTGTGGGGCTCTTCTGTTCTCTAATCACCAAACAAATCTTTAAGATATTGCTCCCATATTTCTTTCTGTTTTTCAGGGTCTAATTTCATTTGGTTTTTCTTGTTTGTTACAATCGAGAAGTGTTTGTGTTTCCATATTCCAGCTACTTCTTTAACCTTTCTGTGTAGTTCTCTATCTTTATGCTTCATTTGCAAATCTTCTACCTCTTTACGTTTTTTTTTCATATATTACAGACATCCCATATTTTAAAGTGCAACCAACGACCTTATGGAGATATTCCCCACTATTACAAGTGAAAAGTAATACGCTAAATAAATAAGCTTGCCATACTTTACAGTGGAAAAAGACTTTTCATAATTAATGAGGTTGTATAAACACCATCAGTAATATTACCGTAAGACTAAACTAAAAGTGGCCTTCTGAATTAAGCAAATCGTGTCTTAACTGTAACTGTTTTCTATAAATTACGATAATCAATACTTACCGGAATTTACTATTTTGTTCACTTTACCGCGAGTAAGCTTTTCCACCCACGAATTAATTTCTTTGCTAGCTTTATCGGGTTTGTTAAAGTTTGTCTTTGTTATTTCTGTTCTGAAGTTTCTTGCAGTATCCTCATATTAGGTAAAACGTATAAATCTTCATCGACAAACATCGATGTCCCAATGTTGAGCAAATATTCAGTTGCGTCGGCATTCTAAAACAAAGAAAAGAGTTTTAATAAATTTATAATCATTACAGTTAAATTTTATTTGCTATTGGACTTCATGTAGCATGAGCGAATTGTTTAAGTTAAAAAAAATTCAATTCCTTAGAATTAGAATTTTTTTATATAAATGATTATTTATTAAAAGGTTGAAGACATACAGGGTGAATTTTTAGTGTGTTTAATAATGTCATTATGCTGGGTAGAGGGAATCCAGTTAGGGACTGAGTATCTTTTGAATAAATATTTTTATAATAGTATAACACTTCAGAGATGCCGCGATGTCAGTTGTGATGTCTATATTTGTTTTATTGACTACGCCAAGGCATTTGACCGTTGTCAGCACCAGAAGATGGTCACCGCCCTACAAAGAGTAGGATTGGATGAGAAGGACATTCGGATCATCATCAATGTATACTGGAACCAGCGTGCTCAAGTCAAGGTCGAAGACCAGCTGACCGACCAAGTAAAGATCATGCGAGGAGTAAGGCAAGGATGTGTGCTATCGCTGACTCTTTTCAATACATACTCTGAGGAGATTTTTACTGAAGCCCTCACAAACCTAGAGATGGAATCCGAGTGAACGGTGAATACATCAATAATATCCGCTACGCCGATAACACTGTGTTACTAGCAACCAGCCTAAACGATCTGCAGGCCTTACTAGACCGAGTGCGAACTGTGAGCGTAACATACGGACTGAACCGTAATATTAAGACAACTAAATTCATGGTTGTCAGCCGTACAAATTTAGATCCGGGTCACTAATGACAGGTAGCGAAGAGATCCAGAGAGTCGACAGACTCACTTACCTCGGAACTCCCTCAACTCACAATGGGACTACGCTTAAGAGATTAGATCCAGAATTGAAATGGCACGGTCTACATTTATCAAGTTGAGATCCTTGCTGTGTTGCAGTGATCTCAGTTTGGGAACCAAGATGCGGATAGTGAGGTGCTACGTTCTTCCAGTGTTACTATATGGAGTTGAAGCCTGGACACTGACTCAAGCCACTGAAAAACGAATCGAAGCCTTCGAGATGTGGATATACAGAAGGATACTAAAAAATATCTTATGTGGACCATGTCACCAACGTTGAGGTCCAACAGCGCAGGACAAAAGAAAAAGAAGTGCTTCATTTGATCAAACAACGTAAGCTTGAGTACTTCGGCCACGTGATGCGGAACGAAGAAAAATATCGAATTCTTCAACTCGTTATGCAGGGTAAAGTATTTGGCAGAAGCGGACCGGGACGCCGTCGTATCTCGTGGTTGAAAAATCTCTGACAATGGTTTGGGATGACCTCAGCGTAGCTGTTTCGCAGAGCAGTCAACAAAACCATGATAGCCTTGATGATCGCCAACATCCGGACCGGATAAGGCACTGAAGAAGAAGAAGAAGATAATACAGCGTTTCTCAACCTTTTACCAGTTGCGACCCAATTTTATATAATTATTTTCACCGCGCCACCCCTTATCCAATAAAAATATATGAATCCAAGCCTTAATTAATTAAACCTTAATTACCAAATAACCGAGAATACGTAAATTTATTGATATATGGCAACACCAATCCAGAACCGATCGTCTCTCTTCGCGAGAAGTTCCGAGTTCTCCTCTCTCCTCCTCAGACCCAGACTACACTAAATTCACGGCCTAACTTTCGCGTGATTGGTTGGTGGGTGGGCCCCGATTTAAAAATTGGCGGGTTTCATGTTTATTAAAATGACAATTGAGGTATTGTGGCACAGGCCTATTTACAAGAAAATTAGTTAATTTAATATTATTATGTTTACTTGATCAGTAATATATGTAATAAAATTTCATAAAATATATGTATAAATGCTTAGCTTAGGTCTGAATTTTAAACCTGTGTTAAGTAATGATGTTATAAAGCTATTTGTAGACTTTTATATTAGAATTGTATTTTTAAATCGGGATGTACTGAGCTCTAGGCGAGGTTTAGAGGGGGTTTTCCTTCGCCATTGCACCAATAACGCCCCCCACTCCTTTGATTTCCCAGATTTTTAATAAAGAATAAAGACATTTTAAACATAGCTATTTAGTGTTTTATTTGGTTTGCAATAGTTATTTCCAGTTAACCTCTGCTTCATTTTGTTGACAATGACAATTTTTCATAGCACTCAATTCACAATATATCTTTTTATTATCCTACATTTGTGGTGAAATCTAACAGAATTCAGTGTAAGGTTCTAAAAAATGAAAATGGATAAATGTCAATTTGGATTTAGGCAAGGCAGGTCTATAACAGCAATTTTTATTAAAAACAGCTAATTTAACAATTTAGAGTGAAAGAGATAGATTTGCACATGATATTATTAAACTTGAGAAAGCACATGATGAAGTTATCAGAAACTTACTGTGGCAGAGATTAGGTAAGAAAGGAGTGCCGGCTGAATATGTGAGTGGAGTATGAGCAAGTATAATCCGACAAGCGAGAGCTGGCGGTGAGCTGCGCAAAAATAGAAAATGAATTATTCTAAGAGAGATAGGAGAGGTACTTAATTGCGATTATAGGTATATAGTATAGGTACTAAAACGGTTATACACGATGTGAACTCCTAGCCGACTGCAATAGAAATGAGCAATCCCTTCCACTTTTCAATTTGTTCCAAGCGCGACCCGCCAGCTCTCGCTTGTCGGGTTATAACAACTGTAATAGTGTTAGAACTACTATAGTTAGAACAACTATTATAGCGTTAGAACGATTACAGGTGAAACTGGCAAATTTTGTGTGAAAATAGGGCTTCATCAGGGTTTCGCCATATTTATTCTCATTTGTGCTGGATTAGATAAAAATTGAACCTCCTGGGTATTAGTAGAAACGACTAGAGTAGCGGAGACAGGTCCTTGAAGAAAAATGATTAAAATTAAGTTGGATACAAACAAAATATTTAATATTCTTTTAAAGATGAAATTTCAGATAGAGTAGTTGGCTTGGATAGACAATAACTCCTAAAAGATGATAATGTTCGGCTTTTATGGTCGGTATTACCGTTTTATCTATAATATTTCAACTAAAGGTAAAGGAAAGAGGCAAATTGAGTGATGTGTGATAAAAAAGGTAACAAAAAACTAAAAGGTAAGTTGTATAGGACCTCCTTTAGACCAGCTATGATGTATGGTACTGATGTAGGGCAGTAAAAAATGGGATAAACAGAAATTGCATGTTTTTGAAAAACCATAATCTCATACAAAAAGCGGAGAGGTACTTAGTCCCTGGAAGAGAACAGAAAAGTTTAGAGGAAAATACTTAGAGAAGCCGATTCCACATAGAGAAAGATGATGAGAATAATAATGTTAATGAATGTTCTACTCTTAATAAGTAAACAACAGCATATAAAAACCGTCTATATGTATATAATACCAAACTTGAGCAAGTTAATAAAATCGTTTACCTTGAACAGCAATTAAATTGTAACGCAGAAAGTCACGGCGAAATTTAGATCCAGGATAGAGCAGGCTAGAGCTGCTTTTAGAACGATGTCCAAGGTGTTATGTAACTGAGACCTAAAACTGGCATTAAGGATCCGCCTACTTCACTGCTACGTGTTCTCGGTCTTACTTTATGCTGTTGAGTCCTGGACTGTGAATAAAATAGATCTAAATCACCTTGAGGCTTTCGAAATGTGGTGCTATAGAAGAATTCTAAAACTTTCCTGTGTGGAGAGGATTCGAAATTCCACAATACTAGAACGTCTAAGCAAGACTACTGAGATCATAAAAAGCATCAAGCAGAGAAAGTTGGAGTATTTAGGACATGTAATGAGAGGTCCCAAATATAGGGGGGCACGCCCCACAGGTTGAGAATCACTGGTATAATATGTTTATATAAAAGAGACACAAATAGGTATTTATACTTGTCTTAAGTGCCTGACATGTATATATACATGGCTTATATTTGCATCATGTGTGACTCTTAGAATCGCGATATCTCAGGAATGGCAACTCTTAGAAAAAAATCATAAATGTCATTTTTGTACAGGATCTTAAGATCTACAACTTTGGTTTAAAGTTTATTTTTGATGAAATTTACCGTTTTCGAGAAAAATCCATAAAACCTCAAATTTTGACCTTCGACTTCGAATAACTATTGTAGCAGCACTTCTTCACGTGCCATCTCCGCGACGGAGGTTGGCAATCATCATGGCTATTCTGATCTTAGATGCTGCTGCTCTGAATAGTTCGATTGATGTGCATCCGTACGATTCCCTCAAATTACGCAACCATGAGATTCTTCTTCCTACACTTCTCTTGCCCTGGATTTTCTCTTGTATAATCAATTGAAGTAGGTTGTATCTCTTATTAACGCATAACATGTCCCCAGATATTGCAGCTTTCGTGTCTTGATGGTTTCCAATACTTCCATTCTTTTTGTTGATTCTTCTCATGACTTCGTTATTTGTTACATGCTCGGTCCATGATATCTTCAGGATTCTTCTATACAACCACATTTCAAATGCTTCCAACTTTTAGCAGTCGACGCGTTAAGTTCCATGCTTCCATCCATAAAGCAGAGTCGAGAAAATATAACACCTTGCCAGCCTAACTCTCAAGTCCAATTTTAGTTCTCTTGCAAAAAGTACCTTTCTCATTTTATTGAAGTTTGTACGTGCTTTCTCTATTCGAACTTTGAACTTGTTGCACTTGTAGCACTTGTAGTTGATATGTAGCACACATAAGATCAATTGGGATTTTTAAAACTTTATTTGTAATGATAAACCCCAGCTCACCACAAATATTTAGCTTTCCGGGAATTTTTTTATTTGACCACTATTTTTTAGTCTAAATTAACCGGATTAATATTGATACAGTCAGAAGTACAGAAAAATAACTTGTTAAATACCCTGTATAGTAGTGTCAAATGTCAAATATTCTAGACCAGGGGTTGGCAAACTGCGACTCGTCTTTGAATGTAAAGCTGCGGCTTTTTAGTTCCACACGCAAATATTTTTTATTTTACTAAAAAAAAAGTTTTAAAAAAGCCTTCTGAATCGATTACCGATAATTAGACACCGATCCTCTCAGTCACTTATACTCGCTTAAAAACCGCACCCCTCAACCGCAACACCTTAGTGATTTTAAAAATAAACCAGAAATCTTGAATAAAATCAAAGATTTGTCACTATCCGCTAAAAACAGTACAAGATACAGTAGCTAAAATGTCTTCAAATGTAACATATTTGCAGGTGGAAGATATTCAACTTTCTTCCGCCTTATCACTTGCTATAGATGAGTCTTACGATGTAAAGACACGATACAAGTTGTCATTTTTGTCAGGTATGTGTCTTCCCATATCAAATCAAATTACACATCAAATATACATCAAACATTGGTTAGTGCTCTCAAAGATCTATATTATGGTTCAAACTCCCAAATGAAATTCGGAAATCTCTTAGCTGAAAAATTGCAGTTACTAGGGTCTCAGAAAAGGATGTTGTATCTCTCCGACTCTGTTTAAGAATTTATATCTCTGCAGCTCTGAAACAATGGAAAAGGAAAGTCAAAGGAATGGGTATACAACTGAACGATCAGGATTACATATATACTTTACAGTTGCAGATGATCAGGTGGTGATCTCAAATGACAAAGACGACATGGAATACATGCTTAGAAAACTAATTGAAGAATACCAGAAATGGGGATTAAATATCAATTTAGAAAAGACAAAATACCTCTCAATTGGAGCTGAAGCAGAACAACTCGATATCGATGACAATCAAAAAGTAAATCCATGTGACGAATATAAATACCTGGGCGTCATCTTCGACCGTAGTGGAAAAGACGAACGAGAAATAGAACATCGAATTGTACAAGCACGAAGAGCTATAGCATGTTTGAACGGAGTTCTATGGAGTAAAGAAATATCAAAGAAAAAGAAAATGGAACATCTATGAGACAATGGTTAAAACTAGCCTACTTTATGGAGCTGAGACATGGAGAAATAACCGAGAAATATAAGAAAAAGATCGAAGCCACGGAAATGGATGCCATCAGAAGATCGATGAGAATATCAAGAGCCGACAGAATACTGAATGAAGTGATAAAACAACAAATGGGTATAGAGGGCACTATATTGAGGATATTGAGAGAAAACAGCTCATATGATATGGACATGTGAGCCGAATGGGGACGAAAGATTGCCTAAAAAAACGATGATGTGGCAACCCCCAGAGAAGAGGAAACGAGGAAGACCACAACAGAGCTGGAACCTGGGAGTTAGGAAAGCGATTAGCGCTCGAAACTGGACGAAGACCTAACTCAAGACCGAATACAGTGGCGGTTGGGAGTCGGACAACGTCGTAAGACGTTATAAAAACCAAATGTATATATGTGTCTTCCAAGGTTTCAAAGAAGAACTTCTGGAATTGCTTTCGGGACAAACTAGAGGGGAAGGTATAGTACATGCCGTCCAATAATGCCTTGAAGACAATGAGATCGATTTAAATAAAATCGTTTTAATAGCAACTGATGGAGCCAGAAGTATGACAGGAAAAAATAAAGGGGCAACAACCCTTCAAAGCAAATTAAATCACGAAATTCTTACGTTTCACTGCATAATACACCAAGAATCGCTTTATGCCCAAACATTTCCCGCCGAAATAGTTGAGGTCATGAATTTGGTGATTAAGATTGTTAATAGCATCTTGTCAAAAGCACTCTACCGTCGTCAGTTTAAAGAATTCTTAAACGGAATGGAGGCTCAGTATGGCTTTCCAAAGGTAAGCTGTTGAAATGTTTTGCTTTGTGCTTGAATGAAATAAATATATTCCTAAATGAAAAAGGCACCAATCACCCTGAATTAGGAAACGACAAATGGTTGCATACATTTTACTTAACGGTGGATATCACAGTGAAATTAACGGAGATGAATCTAAAATTGCAAGGAAAGGGAAACCCAGCCTATGTTTTGTGGAAGAATTGGTTTGTTTTGAAGAAAAATTAATTCTTTTGCAGAAGATATTGAGAGAGGTAAATTACTTCATTTTCAAGTTCTAAAGTAATATCGCGATAAAACCAGTGCAACTGTTGACACGAATTACTTTAGTACAGTTACAAAAAAAATTAAAGATGAATTTGCTGCATAATTGAACAATTCAAAACCAACAAAACTACTTTAGCATTCATAGTAAATTCTCTCAACACAAATAGTAACGTAATTCACGTTGAGCCATTTGGAATTCATACTGGATCTTTAGAAATGCAATTGATCGATTTTAAAAGTAAAGCTTTGTGGAGTGGAAAATTTACAGAATTGAAAAGCAAGCTGGAAGAGTTGGAAGTCCAGAAATGTATGTACGTAACGCAAAAAAGTGGATAGCTTTGAAAGAAATGCCACGAATTGAGGGACTTATATTCAACGCATGGAATAGTCTTCCAGATTGCCACAGTGCGGTGAAGAATTTGGCATTTGGAGTACTAACTATCTTCGGATTAACATATTCTTGCGAGCAAACGTTCTCTTGCATGAATATAATTAAAAGTAAACTAAGAAGCCAACTAACAAATGGATTTTGTTTATCCAAATCCAGATTTATCCAACCTTTCTAAAACCATGCATAGCCAATGCTCCCATTGAGATTATTTGCTCAACTGTTTGTTATTGAATTGCAAGTTAGGTTATAAGTGAATATTTAGTTGTTTTAATTTTTTACTTCAATAAATGAAATGTATGAAAATATATGTGAACAACATATGAATCCTACATATGAATAAATAGATTAATTTTTATTTATCAAAGAACTTTATTTATGCGATTACTATTTATTGTTGACAAAAAAAATTGTGGCTCTTTAAAAATTTTGTAAATTGTAATTTTTGGCTCTTCCGACTCAAAAGGTTGCCGACCCCTGCTCTAGACACTTGATTATAATTGTGTACTTACATAAAGGGCAGCTATGACTTGGCTGTAATTGTTCTTTACATAGTGTTTATTTTCATACTTTAAAATTTTTTGGAATTCCCTTTCTGTCTCTCCAGTAGATCCTTGATATAATAGGGCTAATATAATTTTCAGGCTGATGGGAGATATCAGTACGTTTTTATTCTGGTTTGATAGTTCCTTAAATGAAAAATTTACATGTATATTAGTTCTAAAACTATCCTATATTTACTATACCTGTAACAGTCGCCAATCAAGAGAATCTGTAAAAACCGAATTATACAATTCTGGGTAAAAGCTTTCGTAGATGTCTGTGGCAGAGATCTGACTAGATAAGCAGAACAACAAACCTGCAACAAATAATTCCCAAATTTAAATATTTAAGAAAACATACAAAAATATACTTTCGTAAATACATTAAATGATATTTGCAAATGTAAGATACAGTGAGTCCGGACGTGGTAATACTTAATAGATAGAAGCCACCAAGTTGTGCAGATTCAGATAAGACTATTTTAGTTCGATATTTAGGACAACTATTAAAAAGAATTCATTTAGATAAGAAAATAATCTCATTTTATTAAAGTTTGGTTTAAATTTTAATATCCACAGATTAAATAACCATAAGAATAAATTATATACGTAGTAAATCGGGTATCATCTACCGATCAGGTAGATAGGTATAGTTTATTTCACGAAAAATGGTTAAGTGCTTAATAATTGCAATAAAACCTGACCGCAAGCACCCTAGCTTAGTCAACATTAGTTGAGCAGGTAAGTATTCAGGTAAAATTGAAGCTACTGTGGAGTGTCGTTATCTTATTTGTATCATAAATTCCTGGTAATATAAAAAACGATTTAAAAATCGTATAAAATTATAAAAACGATTAGAATACATTTTATTTCATAAAGTTGTAAACATTTTAACAGTGAGTTTCACTATCAATGGTTGATCTTTTAATGACCACAATAAATTTGTTGATCGTTAAGTGTATTTCCTGGAATAATTATACAGGTTCCCTCTATTCTGTATAATTTGTAAAAGTATATAAAACCGATGAGAAATTTTTAATATACATTTTGTTTCATTTAGTTGAAAGTGTTACAAGTGTTACACGTGTTATACCTATTTATACCTATAAAACAGCATTATGTGGCGTCCGTGGAAAAACATTAATGGTGCTTCTTCCAGTGTTCCAGTGTAGAGAAGAGAGAAATCAATACAATACAATTATTCACGTAGAACAGAAAAACTACTTTCTTCATTTTAAAAATTGTTCAATTATCAAGTATATTCACTTGAAACAACCTGAAAATACCATATGAAATAATTTAATAACTTTCTAAAGTGCGACCCTGTGTAACTTCGGTAGTTTATTGAGAGACTCTTGTATACACAATAGGATCCACTCAGGTAACCATTAAGCACTCACCATTTTTCGTGAAACAAACTTTACAGGGAATAACGATCATAGTCACAAAAATAAATTTTCAGGGTTTTTAAACTTTAAAGATTTGTGCCGAATGTTACAATAGCGGAACAGATGGTATACCCAATGAATTCTTAAAATATGGAGGCCCTGAACTTGCAAGTAAACTGTCACAACTATTTAACAAAATCTTAAGCGACACTGAAACACCATAGGAATGGCATAAGAGCATCACAATCCCCATATCTAAAAAAAGACAAAAAACTTGCCCACAAAACTACAGAAGAATAACCCTCTTAAATACAACGATGAAACTTTTCACGAGTATTCTTAAGGACAAATTGAAAAGCAAATCACTAATGCTAAAGAACAACAAGGTTTTACAAGAAGGCGGTCTATAATAGATGCACTAGTATTCATAATAAAACAAATAAAAGAAAAAGCTATAGCGTTCGGCATGCCAGCGTATATTTGCTTCATTGATCTGACGAAGGCGTTTTGACAGGGTTCGCCTGAGAGACATTCTAAATACACTCACCGGCAAAATTAACAGAACACCTTAAAAATGGGACATGTGAGATGTCTCGAATTTCCTAAACCTGTTGTCCGATTTTAGTGATTTTTTTAGTATGTTATAGATATATTATTTAAGAATATCGATGTAATAATATTGTTGCTAGACAGGTTAGTGTCATTTTATACCGGGTGTTACAATCATACTGTGTTTTTTCCTTAAAGTTCGGAACACCCTGTGGAATATTCTAGCATATATAAAATATTGAAATTAAAACTAAATTATAGATTTAGGCTTTCTTATCATTTTCTTTTTTGATTCATTTGCTTGTGTTTGATAATAAAAAAGTTAGGTACGTTAATAATTAGCCATTTTTTTCATGAATAAATCCTCATTTTCTGCTTAGTTTAATTAATAAACAAGCCTAACGTAGGCTATGAGTTACAACAAGTTAACAATTAATACACACACCGGCAAATTAAGAGGAACAAGTTATTAATGCAATATTTCTTTATATTTGTATTTTATACACTATATCTACATAGCTTTAAATGCTCCTTGTCACAAGAAAGTCTTGAATGTCAAAATGTCAAATTAATTTGTTTATTTGTATTGTGTTTTACATTTTACAGTCGTTTGTCTGTTGATAACAAGTACAGACTTGTATTTAATTGATAATTTACTTTGTTTGAGTTTGTTGGATGTGATTTTTCTTTGATTTGTTCTAATCAGTGGTGTTCTTATTGCAAAGAGTAAGTAAAAATGGGTGATTTAATACCGACTGATATTGCTAGGGCCGTAACAATGGTCGAAAATGGTCAAACGTACAGCGAAGTTGCTGGAATGCTTGGTAGATTACCATCAACCTGCCATCGTTGTGTAAGTTGTTGGAGACAAACCGGGGAGTATGTAAGAAGAAGAGGACAAGGTAGAAAACGTTTAACCACGGTTGTAGATGATCGTTTAAAGCTCCCAGACTCCAGAGACACCATTGTTTAGCACGACTACAATTTGGTGGATTACATCAAAATTGGAATGATAACCACTGGAGTCAAATTCTCTTTACGGACGAGAGCCGTTTTTATGTAAATTGCATCGACGGTAGAGAAAGAGTGTATCGACGCCAAAGAGAACGAAATGCCCCTTTCAATTTTACTACGACCGTACCTTTTGGAGGAGGTTTAATTATGGCGTGGGGCGGTATATGTTTGGGAGCCAGAACAGAGTTAGTGGTGATTGATGATGGAGCAGATTAACAGTAGATAGGTACCTATATCAGAGATATTCTCCAAGACTATTATGTGGTACCTTTGCACTATATACTGGCGAAAATTTTATTTTAATGCAGGATAATGCGCGCCCACACGTCGCAGGCTACGTAAGAGATTTCTTATTACAAGTGGGTATAACAACGATGAATTGGCCAGCTTGTTCCCCAGACCTGAACCCGATATGTGTGGGATATGCTAGGCAAAAAACTTAGGGCACGGGTTCCTGCTATTCAAAACAGAGAGGAAGTCAGAATTGTTTTGATTGAGGAATGGGAGAGACTGTCTCAACAACTGATCGATAGCGTTATCTGAAGTATGAGAAGACGAATAACTGCAGTTATGTGGGGGAAACACACGCTATTAAAGCAAAAAAAAATGCATAAAAAAACAATTTAAGTTCAAACTGTATAATAAAGTTATTTGTTGTGTTGTGTTTAAAATCCGTATTTTGTTTGAGTCTGACATCTTTGTGTTTTATTTCTTCTTAAACAGGTTTCATATTGTCCTACCTATGTAATATATATTCAAAATACTTCACCAACATTCGTATTATGATATTATCTAAACAATATTAACAATATATAAACTAGAGAGAAAATATTCAAATTTTATGGTTGTTCCTTTAAATATGACGGTGAAACTAAGCAGAAAATGAGCATTTATTGATGAAAACATAGCTAGTTGTTAAAGTACGTAACTTTTTTATTATCTAACACGAGCAAATGAATCAAAAAAGAAAATGTTAAGAAAGCCTAAGGCTATAACTGAGTTTTAATTTCAATATTTTATATATGCTAGAATACTCCACAGGGTGTTCCGAACTTTAAGGAAAAAACACAGTATGATTGTTACACCCGGTATAAAATAACACTAACCTGTCTAGCAACAATATTATTACATCGATATTCTTAAATAATATAATTATAACATACTAAAAAAATCACTCAAATCAGACAACAGGTTTAGGAAATTTGAGACATCTAACATGACCCATTGTTAAGGAGTTCCGTTAATTTTGCCGGTGAGTGTATATTAATAGAAAATAAAACACCGATCAACATATATAACAAAGATAGCCCATAACCTAAATAACAACAATGTAACCAAAGTTAGAGCAGGAGACCAATTCACTGAAAATATTCCAACACCGGGAGGAATTAGACAAGGCGACAGTTTAAGCCCCTTCTTATTTAATCTTCTCATGGGCAAATTTTTAAACAAAGTAACATCTCTCAATCTCAGATACAGAATGGGCAATAAAAGAATTGGTATGGTGTGTTACGCAGATGATGCAGCAATTATTTCCGAATCAGAAGATGATCTTCAGAGACAGCTCTATTTCTATCTATATGACCATTTCTACCAACAAAACTAAATGTATGACAATAGCAAAAGATCCGCTCAGATGTAAGTTAGTGTTTGAGAACAACCCTATAGAACAGGTGATGCAATTCAGATATCTGGGCATAGATGTATCAAGCACACACGACCCAGTAAAGGATCTATGGAATCAGATCAACAAAGCATTGATAATGATGGTGATAATGACTATCACATCCCTTTATAGCCCTTCAGTTATTGTTCTTACCTAGCCCATCTCGATATTTCACCTATTAAATACATAAGCGACATTATAGGGAGACGATGTGTCTATTTTACGATTAATAACGGTTTTTTCATCGCCTAATAATGATTGCCTTGGACTCAATTTCTGAAGAATATAATGATCACATTATTCGAAGCACACCTTAGAGGATCGAGAAATGTATGAACTTAAAAAGGGTCCCGAATCATTAAAATTATTGTTTTATGATTATCATTGTTTATTGGGTAAGGAATACTTTGTATACAATATTATAATCCTTTGCATTTAGCAAAAATTAGAAAATATTTTGATGCCCGCTAAAGAGTGCTGCATTTTCAGTGTTACAAAGTATATAAAAATTACATTTTGTCTCCCATCAACAACTAATAATCTAGAAAATAAGAAATAATAAAAGTAGAAAGATACCAAGCTAAAATGATGACAGAACTTACTACTTAGTATTTATTTAAAATCACTTACCTAGAACGAAGAGAGCCATTGTTAACGATAAAAACAACAGTTTAAACAACAACAAAAAGTTTCGGTTTAGTTTCATCCACTAACACAGTATTAATTTTGAAACTGAATTTGTTTAATACACAATAAACTATTCGTTTCTACAAATCATGTACATAAACTTTTCATCACTTTGATCATCTTCCTTACTTCTTACTAACAAAATATATGTTAATCAGTCTGGTATTTTGAACTCACGTAGTCGGCGCGGCTGCAGCAGTAAAAGATTACAAACAACGTTGTCAACTTTTTCGTAAAATTATTGGGATTTTTAAAACCAATGTTGATAAAATGTGTTCATAAAAAGGAAATTCCAATAACATAATAATCAACAGTGTGTAATAATTTTTGTTGACGAAACTGGAAATGAATTTGCCTATGAAATATAAATACCAACCAAGGTCAAACTGCTTAATGAATTTCTCAATTATGTTAAATGTTAAAAAACCTCTTTACTGCAGTTAAAGTTTCGGTATGCTCTCCAAAACTTTATCAGGCATCTACAAAAAATAGTTACAAGTAGTTGTAAAACATTGAATAATTAACAAGACTATTGTTTTATCTGCATCAAATCTGAACACTACATGAACACTATTGATCTGCATCTTTAAATTAATTCTACAGTGTTATAAAGTAATCGAATTTTGTACTTTTGAAAGGAACCATAAAGAAATTATAAAAGTCTTAATAATACAGGGTGTTTCAAAAAGGTATGTCATAAATTAAATCACGCATTCCGGGGACAAAAATAAATTGAATGAATCCAACTTACGTTAGTACAAAAGTGTACACAAACAAAGTTACAGCCCTTTGAAGTTACAAAATAAAAATTGTTTTTTTGCATTATCTCCTAAACTACTTAACATTTTGTAATAAAAATGGACACGTTACTTTTTTGTTCTGAAAGTATTTTTCATACAAAAGAAACAACAAAATCTAAGCGCTCAGAAAAATTTTAAGGGGATGTGCAGCCCTAAATCCCCCAAACTTTTGAGTACGTTCAAATTAAATAAATTTTGTGGCATTATTAGTTCAACACATTATTTTTAAAAATTTTTTGCCTCTTATCACTTTTTTCAAAAAACAGTTTTTATTGAGTTACGGCCCTTTTCATTAACCTTTAAAAAATTACGTGCCACTAAATAAATGGCTATGTATGGATGGTAAGCAGTGGGAAATGTGGCCTGCGTGAACTGTGATGCGCAGTAATCAGTGCAGTCTCATAGTGGTGGAGTACGATTGTTATTGTTACACGTCCGCGAAGCGGCACGCGGTACAGTACTTGTGATGTAAAAACCCTGCTAAATCATAAAATATAAAATAAATTAAAAAATTTTTTTTCACAGTGGCAGCATTTAAAGAAAATATGTATATGCTTTTCGAAAATCGTACGTGGGCCACAACAAATAGCCTCGTGGGCCGGATGCGGCCCGCGGCCGCCAGTTGGACAACCCTGGTCTAGAACTTGTTAATGAGTGACAATTTGCAATTGCATATAGTCCCTTAAGCAACTGGCAGGACATAACAGTAACTTTGTTATGGATTCCACGGTATAAAAGAACTTCAAACACTTTTTATCCGAGCACAACCTTTCTGCAATATATGGTTGATGGGAATTTATATTTAAATTTGTGTTGGGATGGGAATTTATATTTATATTTAATTAAAAAGGAATTTATATTAGCCTGCTAGGAAATATTCCAGTGCAAATTCAAGCCAAACATTTATCACAACTTTCTGCTGGCTACTCAAAATTGCTTTAGAAGTCTGAAATGGGAGACTTCGTATGTGCTGGCTCTGGGGACTGCTCACTTAGATATTATCTATGTAAAATCGACAAAGTGGATACCTATAAACTGAAATAGACTACCTAATAATTCAATATAAGGTTGAATGTTCGAATAATTAAACTTTGATAGTATACAAGGCAACTATCGAACACAGTGATTAATTAAATCTTGCCCAAGTACTTTCGATCAATAGATCATCTTCAGGGGCATTTCGTCAGTTGTGGCCTATCCGACATGAGTAGAATGTCATACATGTAAATTTGGACATAACAATACAATACACAATAATAATTGTTCACCAACTTCTTAAAACCTTACACAAACAATCTTACAAGTCTCTGAATTTCAATTATTTTTGTTTACCAAAATCGTGATATATCTTGATAGGTATTAAGCACTAAAAATAAAAATCTAACTCGTGAATCTTAAAATTCCACTGCATAATAATATAAATTCAAATAACGTGGCAACACCGCTCGAATTATAATGGTCATTGGTCCAGCGTACGTCACAGGAAAAACCATAAACCTAATGAGTCTTTGCCTGCTAATGATAATTATGTAGGCATCCATTAATACCAAATGCCAAAATATCGACTTGATTAAAATCCATAAAATATAATTTTGTTTGCAGATGGAAAACTGGTTTTGCCTTTAAATATTCGAGCAACTGTTGACATTATTATAATGATGCAGGAACATTATTTACTTTATTTATTATCAAAAATACCATGTTTATATCTTAAATAGGAAATGCGAATGAAACTACTATCTTAAATGGTAGTTCTTAGAATTATAAATCTTTGATATTGTAGTTTTTATGTTGGTTAAACTTATTTATAAGGTGTTTTTATACAGCGTTTTTCATTGTAATCCATGATTTCACTAGTAGAACGCATTTAAAAGCAAAATAAAGATTTATAAAAATAATATAGTTTTATTTCTTTCTGTTTTTGTCTTCAATGTATACAGTGAAGCCGTATTTAAAGAAAGGCTCCCAAATTCAATACCGGGTGTATCTAGCAATTGAACAATTTTGAATAACTTATGTTTTGCAGATGATCACTAATAATTACGGATAACAACAATGACTTACAGAAGGTAATGCAAGAACTTATTGTATGGTAGGAGCAATTTAAAGAAAACTAAGTACATGGTCATGTAAATCCTTTAAAATTAGTGTTTGTAAAGTTATTTTTGTTAATTTGTTGTTTAGTTATTGCAAAAATATAGGGACAATGCCATATAGGGGAAAGGGGGATAAATAATAGTGACCGCCTAAGCATTTTGGTTGATTTATACTACTACATAGCCGTAGAGATGTAGGAAGAAAACAAGTTTCTTGGTTAAAAAACATTCGTGAATGGACTCAGATACCAAATGCAGGACAATTATTCCATATTGCAGAAGATCGACAATACTTCGCAATGGTGATCGCTAACGTCGAATAGTTCTGATATGGCACGCGAAGAAGAAGACGTAGCTTTAAAAATTATACTGTTAACGTAAATAAACCTTCGAACCTTAGTACTTCAAACTCTATGTACGAAAAATTTTTATAGATGATAGATGTCACATTTTGCTCACCTTCTCCTTTTGGTAAAATTTCGTAGTCTGTAGATACTGATACTTTGGGATCAAATCACTTGGTTATAAGGGTTGTAATCGATATCTTGGAAACTAATGTGAATATTATTTATCCCAGTAGTAAGTGGAACATTAAAAAAGCCAATTGGTCATTATACTCTCAGTTTATTGAAAAATATAATTTCCTTATTGACTGTATTAATGAAGCTTCTAAACAATATATTTTCCAGTATACCTAAATCATTTAAATGTAAACGTACTCCTCGTCCGTGGTGGGATTCGGAATGTGATCAATCCGTTGTAGAAAGAAAGAAAACATTAGTAAACTACAAAAAATCCTTCTCCTGAAAATTTTTGTAAATGCAAAGAAGTGAATGCTCGTGTCAAAAAATTCCTGAAATTAAAGGCCAAACAAAGTTGGGTAGAATGGAATGGTGTTCAAAATTAAGTAAACAAACTCCATCTAGTCTTATTTGGAACCAAGCAAGGAAAATTAATAGGAAAAGAGTTGACTTTCCACTGCCTCTAAGTAACTCATGGGTAGACGACTTTTGTGATAAAATAGCTCCACCTTACGTAAATAAGAAGGTAGATGTGATGACATCTGAAACTCTTCCATCTGATCAGAATCATTTTCTCTTAACACCTTTTTCAAGAGCTGAGTTAGAGTTTGCTCTTAATAATCGCGTTAGTAACTCACCAGGATATGATGCAGTCAAATATCCTATGATACAAAATTTGCCAGATAACGCAAAAGAATTACTTTTAAATATATTTAATCAGATAATTATTAAGGGTAACATAATCGATTTTAAGCGTATTATAGTCGTCCCTATTCCCAAACCGGGAAAAACCCTAAATTAGCTGAAGCTTACTGACATATATCATTATTATCATGTATATTGAAGACTCTTGAACGGATGATTAAAATTAGATTAGATTGGTGGCTAAGAGATCAAAGTCCCTTACTCGCTAAACAACATGGCTTTAAGAAAGGTTATGGAACTTTAGATTCCTTAACAACTCTTGTTGTAGACATTCAGAATAGTTTTTCCAGGAACAGTTATGTACCTGCCCTATTTTTAGACATTGAAGGTGCTTACGACTCGGTATCTATTACAATTCTCCAAGAAAAAATGATTAATTTTTTTCATATTCCAGCACAGTTTGCTTCTAACGTTGTGAACCTGTTCACAAATAGAATAATTTATTTAAAAGACAATCACACTCTTATAGGACCTAGACTTAATAATAAAGGATTACTTCAGGGCTCTGTTTTAAGTCCTACTTTGTTTAACATTTAGACAGCAGATCTACACAACATCACTATTACTATTTCCCTGATGATCCTGTAATGTTCAATTTTCAGTAACCGCACCTCACATTCTACTCTCCAATGAGTCAAAACCACATCACTATGAAACAATTGATGATACATCACGATGATCGATGCAAATAGTTTACCTTTGGCAAACTCAAGTTGAGTTGCTGGTCCAATTGTTTTGACTTCCATCGGAAAGTGTGAAAAACAATTCCCGATTCAACAAACCTATTGAAGCAAAAACATTCTAAATACTCTTCTTCGGACACTGACGAATCATTTTGCGAGTTACAAGAAGTGTATGATAGTGAAGCTAGAGATGATGACAAAACAGTGGAGCTTAAGAACAGGATATTCGAAGAATTACATCCAACACCTAAACCTTACCATACAAACAAATAACAGGAGGAAAAAAGTAATCATAGAGACAGTAATCTGAATGGAAAAAGAGTAACAGAATTTGCTTTCGAACACAATATGCGAATTATGAGCACTTATTTTGATCACAAAGAAATTCATAAAGGTACCTGGGTGTCACCAGATGGACTAACAGTAAACCAAATAGATCATTTACTAATAGAAGCCAAACATATGAGAGCCATAAAAGATAGCCGAAGTTACAGAGGTGCTGATGCAAATTCGGACCACTTTTTGGTCAA